TAACACTTATAATGCCCCACCCATCACATCCCAGTTGCATGTATCATCAGGTAGCAGACTGGTAAACCTTCCTAACACACCTGTGTGAACTCAAGCCTCTAGCAGAACTGTTGATCTTTTAACGAACACACAAAATGACAATATATAGTTTACTTCCTTAAGTATGTCTTAAATGTTCGAATTACTATAAAAAATGTTTACTTTCCAATTTAATAGACCTGGTATGAGACAGGGCCTTGGGAAAGAAGGGAAAAGCGATGATCCCGTAATCATTAAGAGATACAACCTAGGTGAGTACCGAGGAGTGACAACCTCACTGCAGTGATAACCACTGAGACTTCTTGTGATAACTGGGTTATACAGAGCCATACTCCAAGTCAGCCATGTTCCCACGCAAAAGACCCCGTCTGATATAAATTCTTATCGACGTTGAGTCATTAATAGTACAACATGCAGCCTCACTGCGAATTACACTTGTAAATTGCACTGTCGTGCATATGTTGAATTAGAAGGCAGGAGCAGATGAGGTGGGTCACGCCCTACTTTAACTAGGCGATCCGACAGTCCTGGCCTGGGGATAGGTCCTGGAGTGAACCACGGGCGTTGTCTTCACTACACCTCCATATTCTTCCCACTACCTTGTATGGACACTTAACCCTTCCGCCCACAGCTCTCGCAACCACATCATTGTCAGCCATACGCCGACCAACTCATAACTATACGAAATGTGAAAGATTTACCTGCGTTAAGAATAGCCACCCATACTTTCCAGTGGGGTGCTGTGTTTTAGTCAGCAGACACGTGTGTAACTTTGATACAGGAACTCCACAAGCACATATTAGTTTCCATCTACACTTGACTGTTGGTGAAGCAGTCAAGGTCATGTTGACGCATGGAGATGGCGACTGTATAACTCTCCTCACACTTCTCTCCACTACACGTTAAATCAGAGCGAGGGAGTTGCATAAGCTAGATAACATGGACAATATAAGCCAGCTCACAAGTCTCAAAATAGTACTCAGAAATATAGATTATTTAATTTACAGAGTGCCAGCGTCGAGCCTCCACCTTCAGTGCCAGGAATGGTGCCAGCACCGAGGACCTGAGTGGCGGGTAACCCCCCTCCCCCAGGAGTTAAATTCCATTTCTTCTGTATATGTGATAATCCATTCTCAGAGGTGGCAATTACCAAGGAATAGTAACTCCAGCTCTCCTGAAACGAAACCTTTCAACTTTTAATGGAATACTTGACGCTATCCTCATTGCCCTACTGAAGTCTCCCAGCTCAGACTGACACAATAACACTACATATGTGACTCATGATGGAATATGACAAAAAAAAAAAAACAGTTATGTTTTGTCCCCACTATTTAACCATCATATAGGACAGCGGTACACTGATTATGTACCTAATTTTGCTTAAAAACTTAAAACGCGTTTTATTAGCATTATTTTTTCTCAAACTAATCAGAACAAAACATAGGAACGTCAATGATGGACTGAACGTGTCGATGGAGCTTTTCCCACGATCTCTCAATCGTTTATAAAACACGTTCTCTTGTGGATTTGTTGCGTCAACCAGAACTCTGGCCGGCTGCTCCACCCATGAGTACGAATGGTACTACATACTGCATTTATCAGAAACGTCTAGACACAAGATGGTTAAAGAAGTACGTACGTATGCCTTTACCTTTGAGGAGTTTCGAGAGCTTTTCTACTCCCGGAGACTGGTCAACCAGGTTGTTGCAAGTGGTGGCCAGATGGCCCACATATCTATCACTGCTTTTATGAAGCTCTTTACACAGAGAGCTTGATAAAGTTTTATCAAGCTTGACGTAAATCGTGACAAAGCTCTAAATACCGCGAAATGCTGTCAAGGTGAAATCTTGCTCTGAATCTGTATATTATCTTCATACGCACTTAAGTGTCGGGTAAATGATATCCGCGCGTATCTATTAAGTGATAAAAATCTAACATTAATAACACCAGCATTAATGCCAAGAGTAGAGCAGCCGTGGACGGTAAGAGTGACCACTTCACAATTCACAGTTGCATGAATCAAACACCCACCTAATAGGATATAATGCACAGGAGCAACATAAGCTGGCTCCATAACTGGGAATCGAAGAATGGCTGAGAAATCGGCCAGTATTGCTATCTCAAATTTCCACATTACAACTACAACCACACCTACTAATATAATAATGTACTCGCTGCAACCAAAAAAAGGGGAGCCAGACTGAAAAAAATGGGAAGTTAGGGAAGCGAGCAACATGCAGGGCGGAGAGGGATGGGACGATGTGGGAGTAGGGATGAGAGAATGTAGGAGGGAGGTGTGGGAGGAATAAGGGAGAAGGAAGGGGGTTAGGAGAGAAGCGAGAGGCAAAACATAATTATGGAAGCAAGATGTAATAGTAACCTCTCTGGGTTACCACCGTCTAGTTAAGGCGGCCACTCACCCCACCTGTCACACAACATACTACAAATATTTCCAGTTTCTTTTCCAGATAAAGATGGTGCAACTCCCGGCCAGGTGCTTGTATTAACAGTGAGACACGGAGCCATGGCGAAGGGTTGGCTTGAGAATGTTTACCTTCAAGGTTAGTTGAAGACGATTTCGGGGGTCACCGCCACCACGGTCCGGTCCCGGACCAGGCCACCCAGTTGATGACCTGACCAACCAGGCGGTTGGTGCTAGAGTTCAACGTATGTACCAGAGCCCGACTGATCAGGAACTAGGTATTTTGTGGGACGAGACAAATTTCTAGCGGCTGTACCTCTACCCTTGATATGTATCTTTTGAAGAGTTTCCAGACTTTTTCTACTCCCGGAACCAGGCCCTGGGCCAGGCTTGTCTAAGGCTTGTTTGGTCGACCAGGCTGTTGCTGCTGGCGGCCCGGTGGCCCTCTGTGGAAAGAGGAGGAGGAGGTTGCAGTGGGAGGAGAGGTGCTGGAGGAGGGAGGGAGGGGATGGAAGAAACACTCCCACAACGTCATACTTGTGAAGTAATAGTAACTCCAGCTCTGGTAAGAGGAAATATTTCAGGCTACCATTGCTACTGAAGCCATAGTGGAATACTTAACGATATGCTCATGGCGCTACCATAGTCTTCCAGCTGGCCCAGTGTGCGGAGTACACTGAGTGATGTTCCAGGGGTCAACGCCCCCGCGGCCCGGTTTATTTCAGTCCTGCAGATTTTAGGACTGGTTCGCCATGGATTCGAATCTCACCCGTTCCTCGGGTTGTTTTCAATTGTTTCATTACGATTTAGCGAGTCATTTTACACTGTTTAACAACGCTTCAGTTTTTATTTAGATTAAGGTAAACCTATAGAAACATACATTTAACTGCAAATAAGCGTATTAAACAATGTCAGGGTGACTGGCTGGGCAATTCCCAGGAAACGGTGTGCACGGGTATGATGCGTGATGTGGGTAGACAGAGCCTGGTGAGGGGTGGCCCGACACACCCACCAACCTGGCTTCTTACAATGGTTCCTTGTTTGTACACAACCCAGGCTCAGGATCACTGGCCCTAACTGTGAAGTGTGCAACTCTGAGCAAAATTTACTTGTACTAAGGTAATTCGAAATCACAGTTTAGTCTCCATCATGCTGCAAATACGTTAACAAAACGATTACAAAATTTATTGGGTGATTTTACTGAGGAGCGTCATTCATCATAAGTGCTATATGCCATGAAGATATTTCATTTCAGCCCAAATAGTTGACATGTCACGGGCGACAACAACTCCATATTTAGCTGCTACAACATTTGCATTGTTATCACCTTTAGAAAATGTCATTCTCAATAAAGATCTCATTTTGCTGGATTTCTCTCTTTTACCACTTGTCGGCAACGCCATTCTTACCCAAATATAACATTAACATATTTATGAAAAGAATACTTTATTTACACCAGATGATGATGATAATGGTGCCAGACAAAGCTATAATCTCAACCAAACAATTCAGAAATACTCCCCAAGCTTCCAGGAGCCATATATTTACGGAAAGCACTAAACAACCAACATAAATAGCTCCACCCCGGGGTCATTTACAGTTTACGAAAGTATCGCAGTCTGCAAGACTGGTGCAAATCTACAGAGGTTACCTTCCACTTTATTTCCATGTAGAGGTTTACAACTAAATTCTCGTCCTTACTACAACCCAGGTTCAGTTATCAGGCACACACACTGCTTACTAACTCAACATACATACTTTAATATATATATAATATATATATATATATATATATATATATATATATATATATATATTTTATATACACTCAATCTTCCACCTTTAATTCTAAATGAGGAACAATTTATAATGAGACTCATCATTCTAATACGTTATGCTGTTACTTAATGTTTAATAAGTGCACTGTTACTTGCAACATTAATTTAGTTTGAAGACACGTGAGCAAATACTTGGACACATTTATTAGAACACGTTTCGGTCGTAGAATCTTGAACACCTCTAATACACAGATTAAAATGAGACTATATATAGGCGGAGAGGCGAGTGACACGGGACTTTTTAAACCAAGTTGTTGGTATCAGTTACCAAGGTTTATACCAGCATTAGTTGAACATGTATGCTTGGGTAGAATATAACAAATACAGTCCAGTCATGGCAGGTTTAGGTTACGTTTTGTTTGGGTTACGATAGGACAGGATACATTAGGTTACGATATGCAAGGCTATTTTGCTGTAAGAACATGGCCAACCAAACCTAACTTAATTAGATGTTATAAGCACCATATTACATTACGAAGGGACAGCACTTATGAGGCCTCAAGGCTGTATTGTTTTTAACTTGCACACAAGTAACACTAGTTTATGAGAACGAAGACATCTTTTGTAATTTATATGGGTGGAGGATGGGGTATACATGTTGCAAAATAGAATAGCAATATTAACCTCTGGGTGATCTTTGACTAGGACATAAATTGGGAGGGGGAGGCACATGCTGTGACTTAGTATAGCAATGTTGACCTCTGGGTGATAGTTGACTAGGAATATACATGTACATGGGGGATCCAAATGTGACTTAATATATCAGTACTGACCTCTGGGTGATCTTTGACTGGAACGTACACCTTGTCTGAGAGTGTCACGGGGGCTCCCATTGGTTCTGGTAAAGATAGGGGCTCCTTCTGCCCTCCATTGATGTGGAAGAGGTTAGCCCGGACCTTGTTGATCTCTGCAGGCAAGAAAATAATCATTAGACGATACATCAATATCACTATCGCAGAGAATAAGATTAACACAAAATCAACATTGGTGACCAACCCACCCATGCTGACCACAACAATCCCTCAACACAGCGTGCGCGCGCACGCACACACACAACTTTGGTTAACTTACGACTGCTACTGATCTCTCGTGATATTATCAATTACAAGGACAGTCATGTGAGTTGGTAGTTTTTTTTTATCACGCTCCCTCTCCAAGTGCAAAATCAGAGACAGCTACATCAGATGAAGACCTTTCTTTGTGGTATACCTTTGATGAGTTTCCAATCTTGCTACTCTCGGAGCCCGGTCATGGGGCAGGCTCATCTGGTGCTAGCCTGGTCAACCAGGCTGTTGCTGCTGGAGACCCGCTGTCCCACATATCCATCACAGCCTGGTTGATCTAGCACCTGGTGAAGATACTTGTCCAGGTTAATTAAATATTATACACTACAGTGCCACCAGACGCAGCTGCCACCACACTGACCCTGGTGTCGCTCACCAAGCAGTAAGAGCCACACTAACGCCTGACCCGTCATAAACGGAGTGAAGATGGACGCTCGCAAAGATTAAAGACGCTAGAAAAACGCGAAGTTTAATTTTTTTTTGTTTTCTTTTTACAGTTAAATTCCATTTAAAATTCTCTCTGAAATCTTGAGAGAAAAACAAAACCGATTTTTTTCAGAGTCCAGTTCGATAATATCTGTTCTACAAAATTGGGAAATTGGCATCCACACATTATTCAATATAAAAACTTACAATTAAGATACACCACCAGCACTCAAGAGTTTGAAGCCGACCGGAAGAGGCATTCTCAAGTTATTACATGTAAGTTATTATAAGTAATGCCTAAGATAATCTATTACATAAAATTCCTGAAACATATTTCAGTAGTTTCAGGCATAACCTGATATGCTGATTTATGAAGCTTTAGTATGGAACTTGACCCATTGTAATACATGCTCGATGACAGCCACTATACTTATTTACTAAAATATTTAGGGATATCGTGTAAATCCTGGCTTTACACACACACACACGTACGTATATACACTACAAGTACAAAGTAGTGCCACTTATCCATGACATATGAAGAGCCCTTAAAGAATAGTGAAGTCCTCCAGCGTCTACAGTTTTCAGTGACTGGCGATTTACCACCAACTAAAAATATGTCAGGGAGATAAAATGTGCAGTCAATGATGTGGCAAATAATGAGAGAGATCTTGGTGAAAAACAACGTGTATCCAGTAGCGTAATGTGGATACAAGGATAACTATAATAGTTGCTTATCGATGCCTTCATATTGTTGCACTCTTACTAGTATCTCTTCTTTTTTTTTGGATAATGGTAGTGGAGGAGGAGGAAGAGGAGGAGGAAGAGGAAGAAGAGGAGGAGGAAGAGGAGGAGGAGGAGGAGGAGGAGGAGGAGGAAGAGGAGGAAGAGGAAGAGGAGGAGGAAGAGGAAGAGGAAGAGGAGGAGGAACAGGAAGAGGAGGAGGAAGAGGAAGAGGAGGAAAAGGAAGAGGAAGAGGAGGAAGAGAAGAGGAGGAAGAGGAGGAAGAGGAGGAAGAGGAGGAGGAAGAGGAGGAAGAGGAAGGAGAGAAGAGGAGGAGGAGGAGAGGAGGAGGAGGAGGAAGAGGAGGAGGAAGAGGAGGAGGAAGAGGAGGAGAGGAGAGGAGGAGGAAGAGGAGGAGGAAGAGGAGGAGGAGGAAGAGGAGGAGGAAGAGGAGGAGGAGGAAGAGGAGGAGGAAGAGGAGGAGGAAGAGGAGGAGGAGGAAGAGGAGGAAGAGGAGGAGGAAGAGGAGGAGGAGGAGGAAGAGGAGGAGGAGGAGGAAGGAAGGAAGGAGGAGGGAAGCCCTTCAGTGGCTCCCAGCCCAGCAACAAATATTGGACTGTAACTATCGATAAGGAGAGTAGTTATTTTGGCCAAAGAAGTGAGTTTATTGAACAGCGCCACTTATCCTGAGAGTGAACATACCACTATAAAGTTAGTACATATTAAGCAAAATAGTTAACCTGCCATTGGTGAAATCAACTCCCTCCCTAAGTGCTTTAATATACAGGTATCAGTATATTTACGGTCCCCTTGTCTACAGGTATCACTATCCGTATATATTACTAGCATACAGTAGCACCAGATCCCGCCTTTCTGTGTGTAAAATATTACCATCATTCGTTATGTTTTCTAGACAACTGAGCTCAAGTGATTTTATGCTCTCAATATCTAGCGTATCATCCTTAGTTTACAATTCTTAAGAATGGTTGGGTTTGGGCTAGTACTAGGGCGGCTTTACCTCACCACCACTACCACCCATGGTGACTACACCAAACATGGCACCAGCAGCCAACCTGCCGCCACGCGCCTCATGCAACAGCCTCTTGTTCACCAGGTAATGCGACGGTGCAGGTTGGGCAGTCAAGGAGTGAAACCCACACACACTCGTTACTCTCATACACAACGCGCACACACTCGTTACTTTCATACACAACGCGCACACACTCGTAACTTTCATACACAACGCGCACACACTCGTTACTTTCATACACAACGCGCACACACACACTTTACTTTCATACACAACGCGCACACACTCGTTACTTTCATTCACACCTCCTGCACAGATCAATATTAGGATCAGTACTTTCTGGTCTATGTGAGTGACTTGCCAGACAGAATCGAGACAGATACATATATCTCTGTTTGCCGATGTTGTAAAACTAATGAGGATTATTAAAACAAAAAAAGGATAAGACAAGTGACTCGAGTGGTAGTCTTCGGCTCTCATCTGAAGGGCTCGGGTTCGATCCCAGCACAGGTGGAAAAGTGGGGATGTTTCCTTATACCTGTTCATCTAGCAGGAAGTAGATACCTGGGTATTAGTTGGCTGTTGTGGGTTGCATTCTGAGGAAGAAAATCAAAGACCCCCAATGGAAATAAGCCACAGTGGCTTTATCGAGTTATTCTGGGTTACTAACCCTGCGGGTTAATAGTCTGAATAAAATCATCCTAGAGAGGACAAGCTTCATATGGGGAGGGTGCCTACGATCCACACACACACACACACACACACACACACACACACACACCACACACACACACACACACAGGCACATCTGAAGCGCACGTCAACCAAATAACTGCTGCAGCATATGGGCGCCTAGCAAACCTCAGAACAGCATTCCGACATCTTAATAAGGAATCATTCAGGACCCTGTACACCGTGTACGTTAGGCCCATATTGGAGTATGCGGCACCAGTTTGGAACCCACACCTAGCCAAGCACGTAAAGAAACTAGAGAAAGTGCAAAGGTTTGCAACAAGACTAGTCCCAGAGCTAAGAGGTATGTCCTACGAGGAGAGGTTAAGGGAAATCAACCTGACGACACTGGAGGACAGGAGAGATAGGGGGGACATGATAACGACATACAAAATACTGAGAGGAATTGACAAGGTGGACAAAGACAGGATGTTCCAGAGATTGGACACAGTAACAAGGGGACACAGTTGGAAGCTGAAGACACAGATGAATCACAGGGATGTTAGGAAGTATTTCTTCAGCCACAGAGTAGTCAGTAAGTGGAATAGTTTGGGAAGTGATGTAGTGGAGGCAGGATCCATACATAGCTTTAAGCAGAGGTATGATAAAGCTCACGGCTCAGGGAGAGTGACCTAGTAGCGATCAGTGAAGAGGCGGGGCCAGGAGCTCGGACTCGACCCCCGCAACCTCAACTAGGTGAGTACACACACACACACACACACACACAACTCCACCCATCCTAGACACAGCCAAACTCCTTAAAGGGTTCTTATAAGCCGGTGAGTCATCCTCAAGGATATGCCAACCAGTAGGAGTTTGTCATCGGCGGCGGTGGTGAAGGCGGAACACATGAATTAAGAGACTTTAAGAGCTCTGGGACCCCAAGAACATGAATGGTGCAGAACGAAGAGTCCAGCTTCATGTACCCTGAAGCCCACACACTCGCATAAATACAAAATACAGGTAAATCAAAATAGTATCACAAACAATAAAACAACTGAAATACGTATAATACATAATAGGTATTAGATGCGCATCTAGAAATCCATGTGACCAAACCACACAGGATTATCTAAAAGTTGACAATGGTCCCATTCAGCCATGCATGGGCCAGTAGGCCTGCTGCAGTGTTCCTTCGTTCTTATGTTCTCAGCGATTGTGAAGGAATCCTACCTAAATGAGGTTACTGGCATCCTCCTGCTGCACATCTGTTGCTGGTTCTGTGGATCATCGCTGCCGAGACTAAGTCTTAGACCAAACCTAAATGGCTCTTTAGTCAGTCTAACACAAGCACCAAGTCTTAATGCTGAAGTAATTTTTCAGGCTTCCTCCCGATGAGAGCTAGGGATTTGCTGGTAATTTTCCTTATATATGCGAGAAAGGATTGAAAAGCCTTTAAGGGGCACGTAAGTTACCCCGTCTTCTAATAACATGTTCATTTTTCCACTATAATCTATCTTGTCCATAATTATTATCGCATTTGCTTTGTCTGGTTACGTAAGGTGAAGTCTAGGATCTTTCCTTAATTCATGGTAAAACTTAACCATTCTTTGAGGACAATTGTGTTGGAGAGGTCTCATAGATTTGTTAAATTATACCATGAATTAAGGAAAAGATAGATTATAGTGGAAAACTGAACATGTTATTAGAAGACGGGGGAACTTACGTGTCTCTTAATCCTTTGTACTTGCTATGTCCTTGATGTACTTTTGCTCCTCTGCTTTTCATCACGAGTGTCTTGCAGTTTGCATCATCTACTGTGCCTCTCGGCTGCCTTCCAGGGGTGTAGAGTCTTGACGAACATCAGACATTCCTAATGGACTCGAGTGATTACGGATTGTGAAAATGTTATTCTCCAGCTCTGCAGTTTCACCTGCCTGAAACGGAGCTGTTAATGTACAACAATATTCCAAATCTTAGTCAGGCAAATTA